CTCCGTGGTCTAGAGGATCCGCCGAAATCACCTGACGAGGATCCAGCTGATGGAAGAGGGTGGAAAATGCCGAAGGAGGACGAAGAGACATCATGAGGCATCATAAAAGATGGGATAGATAGCAAAGCCAGACGATCATACACCAACGCAGCCAATACATCGTTAAAACTAAATGAGAACAGCAAAGCAGAAAAAAAATAACACAAAAGTAGTGGAGCAAACTGCACCCGGCAGCGGCAGAGCCAAACACATGCACCACCATACCCTTCATCATGATACCATAGCACAATAGTGCCATGATGAAGGGTATGGTGGAACAGCTGCATCTGGGATGCTGCAATCTAGTGATTGCGCTTCTGGCTGAGCCTCTGTCCACATTGGATGGGAGGAAAGCATGGAAGGAGGCGTTGGATTCGGGCAAGGGAGGGTGGTGGTGTGGGTGTATCAGTATCAGTGTACATGTGTGTTGGAATGTATATCTTGTGTTCAGCCTGAAAGAGTGTCCTTTTGCCTATTAGTCAAAGATCAACAGTCCACAGCCTACGCAGGTGTGGGGGTAGCCGCATGAGAGATGCTGTAAATGTTGTTTTGGGACAAACAAACTGCATCAGTTTTACAGTTATTCTTAATGTCATCACTGGTCTCCTGTTGTATCATCTGTTTAAGAGCCGTGAGCTCGTCCAAGATGTTTTCCATATTGCGTTCAGTAAGAACAGTCTGAGTACTCACAGCTCTTCCCACATTTTCGATCATACCTGCCAGCTTTGTGGCGGTTTGAACAGCAGTCACCGCTTTCTCCAATTTCAGATAAGCCAGGGCCGAGCCAGCTACGATCAGCAAGAGCCCCGTTATTATGGTTCCAAATAGGTAGATGTTCTCAATGTCCTCAGTAGACAGTCCTGCCAGGCACACAACGTGGCACTTCTGCCACCCATCCATAGTGTATCCAGCAGGGAACGTCCCTCCAAGACACTCTCCCAAACCTCGGCTTCTCGTCAAGAATAGAGTGTCAATTGCATTAAGGGACCAGTTGATCAAATCCATAACTCTTCTTTAGGTTTCAGAGAACAAGAGGGAGATAGAGGCTTTCTCGGGGTTAGAGTCAGACGAGACCAGATAAGGAGATAGAAGCAGCAAGCAGGGAAGATAAGGGAAGGAGAGGGTGAAAGATGTGTCCGCCTCCTCCGAGAGCCAAGAGACTATTTAAGTCTCACCCGTCTTTCTGTCTCCTTTCACTTTTTCCATGTTAGAAAAAATATTTTGCCCTGCCATGCTGTTAATTGATGTGGTAGATAAATAATTTATGAAAATATCACTAAATCTGTCATTTATTATTTTTAATATTGAGTAATGATCATATCTCACCTCTAGTCTTCTCCGTCTTGATTTCAGGTTTCCACCATGTGCTGTAGATAGATCAGGAGGTTAACTCGACCAAGCAGTCTTTGGGTTTGGATAAGTACTGTTTAGAATACCGGAATAGGGAGGATGGTGTAGGTTTGAGTTTATTAGATTGATACATATATACCAACAACACAGTGCACATCACTGTCAGTATCCTTAAATTCAGAGCAGTTTTAGAGCAGTTTCTGAAAGTCAACAACTTTAATGGAATATATTCCCGACTGTAGTGTAAGCACAGCAAGTGCAGAAAGAGTGCAATGATAATTGAATTGGGGGAGGGGCGACCTGTTATCAGGTTACACATGCAAAGGGAGTTAACTTTTAGATTATAATACACCAACAAAGGAATCCATCTGTGGCCTTCCTCATTATCCATCCTCATCATTCCTATGAAAATACCCAACAAAGGTGTCAAAACACAAATAGTCATAGCCAAAAGTGTACAGCAGCTTGTAAGACTTATTTCTTTCAGTATGATTGGGCCTAAGGACTTTGGTAATAATCAAAGACTCACATAAATATGATGAAGATCAAGACACTGAATGAAATTATAGTTTCAAAAAGATTTAAAATATCACACACAAGTCAATGTCAGTGTTTACATTAATATACCTGCACCACCTCTATGTGTTATATAGACCTTGCCATTGCACAGCTCATAGCCTTAATGCTTCCTCTATGTGACCATCTAGCACTACTGCCAGCATAGACTAAGTGGAGAGCTGCTCACGCATTTAGTGCTGAGTTGAGAGCATCAGGCTGCAAATGCAGCTACACATTCAAAGGATTTCAAATTGTTTTAGGTCTTAAACTGGCTTTGTAACTCTTCAAAAAAAAAAAAATCCACTCAAAAAGCACATTTCCCACCAAGTCCATAGCACCGGTTACAAATTCTAAATTTTTATGGATCTGTGATAACTGCAATCTTCCTTTCTCTTCCTGTTCTGCACTACGTTCCATGCTAATGCTGCTGACAGACAGAAATTAAACTGCTGCAAAACACATGTGTCAGAGTGGGTGTGGGGATTAGGAAGATCAGTTTGATTTGACAGGATCTTCAATGAAATTAAAGAAAACATGAAATCAAAGTCTGAATGAAGATGCTTTTTTTCATCATTTAAGTACCATCCACACGAATCACAGGGAAACACTCAGTATTTGGAAAATCAACAGATGCATAAAATACTGTTATTCTTTGTTATGTCACTAATTATGAAGCAAAGAATTTATATTTGACATTTATCAAAATAAAGTCAAATATTATCTACTGTATCTGATTATTTTCAATGATAATTGAGTAAATGTTGTTATAATTAGATATTGCAGAGGCATAAATAATATCTAAACTTTACGGTCCTGACTATTTAATAAAAAATAATGAGAGATTTTATAATAAAACTCGATAATTACTGATTACACAACATGTATGAAAAAACCCAAAACAAATAAACACAATAAAAATAGAACTATTCCCGATAAAATACAAGAAATCAAATCACACACTCTCCAGATTTTTACCAAACATTACAGAAAACAACAAATCAGAAAAGATTAAAATGACTGATTCAACTTACAGTACAGAGCAAAACTAACAACTTAAATGAAAATCCTGGTACTTAAAGAGCTCAGCCCAGGAAAAATTATTTGATTCATAACCTCAAAAAAAGACAAGAATAAAGGTACCTGATCACCAAATGTGTGTCGTCTTTCTTTGTGATCAAACATTTAATACCCCCACCCACACAAACACACACACACACAATGATTACATTAGAATGACAAAGTCACACTGATAACTGTTCTGTTCTTTACTTATTTGAAAATAATTTGTTTTTCCTGCATCATTGCAACTTATCCTCTGTTTCTATTTTGAAGTAAATTATGATAAAAACATTTATTTGCTGGAAAAACACTGACCACAGCTTCAACTCTGCCAGGTGGGAGATTAATGAGCTGAGACAGTGTGGAACATGCTGGTTCCACGTGGGTCTTTTAGCAACTAATACCTATTCAGTCTTTGGAGTTAGTTTAACCAGTCAGAAGCTTTGGTAATGTTGGGATAGTGACTTGTGGTTTAATGGTGAGACTGGAGTCCGACACTGTGTTTAAGGCAGGTTCGATGACACCCAGTCAGAATTATTTGCTGTTGCGAGGAAATCCCAAACATTTAAAACATGCAGAACAACACATCGGTGCCTCTTTAACGTTTTTTCCCAGTACAAATGAAAGAAAAACAACTGAAATCATTCATTTCTCGTCACAAAATGCTGCAGCCTGACGCGTCACTGACCTCCTTACTTAAGATTTTTTGCATCAATTCACTTAATTGTTGTTCATGTTCTTCCTGTAGTTCTTCCTTGTCCTCCTCAGTTTTTGCATTCCTCATCTCTTTTTCATGTTTTTCCACTAGATTCTTGATCTTTCTCAGGTTTTCGCTCTTCTTGGTCACACGTTTCACTAAGTCGTTCATTTCCTTCACGTGTTCTTCCCGCTGAGCATTTAATTCGTCCATGTGTTTCTTTTGGGATTCGTTGAACTCTTCTGCTTTCTGTCTGGCTTTTCTTTCATAGCTCTTCTTTAGGTCCTCCAGTGTTTTCTGATGATTGTTCTCTGTTATTTCCATTTCTCTTCTTATTTGCTCCTCTTGTAATTTGTTGTTTTCGTATTTTATTTTTTCTTGTTTGTAACTTTCCAGCAGTTTGTCGATTCTTTCTTCCTCCTCCTGTCGTCTCTTTTCATCTTCTTGTCTTTGTTTCTCTCGCTCTTCTCTTCGTTCTTTCTCCCAGGCTTCTTGTTTTCGTTGCATCTCTTCTCTGGTCTCTTCCAGCTGTCTGTCGACACTTTCCTTTGCCTCTTTTTCCAAATGAATTTGTCTGTCCAACTTTTCAAGTTCTTCTTTGAATTGTTGTCGATATCTTTCTTCTCCAGTGTCCTTTTCCTTTTCCTTCTTTTCTCTCATTTCTTCTTCTTTTTTTTTCTTCTCTTGTTCTTCCTTAATTTTATCCATCATTTCCTCGAGTTCTTCAGCTTTCTGTTTTCTCTCATTTTCTGATTTTTCTCTCTCTTCTGCCAATCTTCTTTTCATTGCTTTCATTTCTTGCTCATGTTTTCTTTCAATCTCTTCCTTTTCCATCTCCATCTCTTCTTCCTTCTCCTTCAGGATCCTCAGCATTTCCTTCTTTATTGCTGCATCAGCCTCTTGCAGCATCTCATTGGTGTAGAAGCTTCCTCCATTGTCCTTCATCATGGTGTCAATCTTTTTTATCAGCTCACTGACTTGTGTGCGGTTTTGGTTGTCAGAGTTATTGAACACATGGTATCTTCCTCCACAGTTAGAGATCATCGTCTGAAAAGAACCGTGACATTTGCTCTTGATGTAATCATCAATAGACTCTCTCTGGCGCTCCAGATCGTCTCCTCTGGTTAAAAGAACGATGGTGAACTTTTCAGAATCCTTCCCAAAGAATTTTTTAATGAGCCTCATCGTTTGCTTCTGCTCTTCTGTGAACCTGCCAACCTGTATCACCACCAAGAAGACATGTGGTCCTGGAGCCAGGAGACTGACACATTTCACCAACTCCCCATGAACTTCTTCATTGGTCAGAGCTGTGTCAAACAGACCAGGAGTGTCGACCACAACAACAGGACGACCGTCCACCTCACCCTCTGCCTTCTTACAACATGCTGTGACAGACATTTGACTTGATGCAGCTTTAAACTCATCTCTTCCTAAAATGGTGTTTCCTGTAGAGCTCTTTCCACAGCCGGTCTTCCCAATCAGCACAATCCTGAGACAGTCTGAGT